GGGGTCGACGCTCATCGCGGCCGCGGTGCATGGGCGGATGCTCTACGTCGCCTGCCTCGGCGACGCCCGCGCGGTCCTCTACGACGGCCACACCACCATCGCCATGAGCGAAGACCACAAGCCGAACAACCCCAAAGAGAGCAAACGCATCCTGCGCTGTGGGGGGTTCGTGCAGTTCGGCCGGGTTTGCGGTATCCTCGCCGTCAGCCGCGCCCTCGGCGACTTCGAATTTAAGATGAACCGCCTCAACACGCACGGCGGCGGCGGCGGCGGCGGAGGGGGGGGCGACGACGACGACCCCAGCGTCTCGTTGGGGTCGCCGAAAATGCTGTTGGAGACGCGTCGGCGCGAGCGCCCGGGGCCGGCTTTTCCCCATCCGGAGTACGCCGTCAGCAACATCGCCGACGTCCGCCAGCTCCACCTCACCGACAACTCCGTTTTTCTCATTTTGGCCTGTGATGGGCTCTGGGACGTCTTGCTGAATGAGGAGGCCACGCAATTTGTGAAGGACTTTTTGACCTACACCCCGGATATTAGCGATCCGCTCATTCATGCCGGCCAACGCCCCCGGCCCACCCCCCACGTCGTCACACGGGCTCTGAATAACTGCTGTCGAAAGCTCGCGGAGTTCGCGGTGGATCGCGGGAGTATGGACAACGTCTCGGTGATGGTGGTGTTCTTTCACGACGTGGTGGACGCCGTCGCGGGGTTTGAGCGGGGCGGGGGGGGGAACGCCCCGGTCTCGCGGCACCCTTCCAACGGCGCGACCCTCCCACATCGCCATTCGCACGAGGACCATCCCGGAAACGGGGGGAAGGAGGCGAGGAATCTCAAACCGTCGGCCTTGCAGCCGGGGGTGCGGCACACACGCCGGCATAATAACCTCCCCGTCGAGTTTGAGAACTTGAAAAGAAAGCTTAAGCAAAAGAGTGGGGCGCGGTAGTGGACACCCCTGTTTTCTCCAAGCTTTTTTTTTCTTTTTTTTTTAATTTATTTGAATGCTGCTTTCTCTTTCCCTTGCCCTCCTCTTTTTTCTCTTCTTTTCGTGGCGATGGTTGTGTTGGTGCGTAGTCGCACACAAAGCGAAAAAAAAGACAGGGAGGGAAAAGATAATTCTAGGTTATTGAAGAAGCACAATGTCTGGTTTGTATGTCTACTTGCTCCCTTATGGTGTAACTATTTTTTCTTGCATTTTCGCGGTTTAATTTTGATTTTAGCGTCGTTGTTGTTTCCGTTCCGTTTGCTTTACGGAAAAAAGCGTAGTTAAGATAAGGGAGGAACTGGTAACAGAACGTTTCAACCTCCATTTTTTCCCCCTTCTTGTATATAACTTTCTCGCTTGTTTTTGGGAGGTTTTTTTTTGGGTTATTATTTCTGATGGTTTCACTACAGATTCGCAGCGATGATAATATGTATTTAAAAAACAGCAGTAGTAGTCACGCACTGCCCTCTCTGAATATTGTTGTCTCTTTTTCCCCCAAAAAATGTTATGAATGTTTTTATTTCCCCATGATCAAAGATACACAAAACATATGCCTATCAACAATTTTTATGTGTAGTCTTAAAAATTGAATATATGAATACTTTGAATTTTGATCGACTTTTTCATTTCTTAATATTTTTCCAAATTCAATTATGACAGCAAACCATTTATTCCTTCCCAGAGTCTACATAAAAAAAAATGTTAAAATCCTTTATCAGTTGGGATTTATTAGTTTTTATTTTAGTCAAGGAAGCCTTGGGTTCCTTTTTCACCTTTATGGGTACCGCTTCTATCTGTTGATGGTATCATTAGTGTTTTAATATGTTTTCTATATGTATAGCCTATGGCTTGCAATATTTTTCTATATTCTCCAAAAGTGACGAGAAACAGAGAAAGCGAGTGTCTGTATTACGACCACACTCCAAATTCTGATTTGAAAACAAAATAGAAAATTTATGTATTAGTCTATTTTAACAATATACGGACACTCTAACCACGGATTTATTTATAGACATGACCGTAGTATATACACATTACTCATTTATCTGATCTATTTTATCACGTCTTATTTGAAGAGATGTATATCTTTCAGTATCTATTTTACTATTATTATTATGGTAATCATAGTCATTTCTACTTCCAGTGTTGCTAAAAAAGAGTCTTAGTCAAGTAATCTATCTCTGATTGACAATGCCTTCGGTTTCGGCAAGGTTATTCTTCAATATGACTATTACATAATATGATATTCTGAATAATACTAATAATATACAGATTTTTTTAGTGGGGTAAGCAAGAAAAACTAGCAATGAGGCTAAATGGTGATCTTTATTACAGATGAACAAAGTAATAACGTTTTCTCTTATGATTTTTGATGTCTGCAATTGCTTTTATTTCATGTGAGATTTCTTTAAATTACTCCATTAGGTTAACAAAGGAGAAAGCTAATATGTTAGGCTTCCGAAGAAAACGATTTACTTGAATTTTTTTAAGCCATGGAGCTTATTTCAATGACTTGCTATACTATTATCGAATTTTTCCGCATATATGCATATATTCATATACCTATATATATACATATATTTATTTATTTATTTAGGTATAGATATATATCCAGTGTTGTTGTTTATTTTTGAAACCCCTCCCTGATCGTGAAAAGGAAATATAGATTAAACCTTTCCATAAACCCAGGCTTCGTCCTTTGTCACAGTTTATCTTTCTTTTTTACTCAACAAGGAAATATCTATAATTTTTGTATGAGGCATAGCAGCTCCACTTTTCCTTTTATCAAATTTCGTGTAAATGGATAGGCACCGCGATGCGCTGTTTTCCAGTTATTGATATGGGGTTTGATTTCAATTTGCGCATTTGAGAATCACACAAACGAATGTAAGGTTTGTGGAAATGAAAGATGAAGCCATATTCCTTTGCTAAGAGTATAAATCAACATGAACGTACAATTATACTTTTTTCCCCCCTTTAGTAAATTGTCTTTCATTCGTAAATAAAAAAGGCGCTACTTGCCTTTTGATGCATTATACTGTCAGTTTAAATGTTAGATCCCAAAGCACAGTCAATCAAATGACCTTTTTCTTTTCTTCCATGTTGGTTTTTAATGTACTTTCATCTTTTTTTTTGATTTTCTCCAGTGTACGTATTAGTTAGTCACGTCTATCCCAGGATAAAGATAAAAATAAACACCTGCCGTCCAAGTAGACTAGGGTGCGTTACGTGTTCGGCTTCTTACACAATTGATCCTTATTACTTTGTGTTCCATTTCATAAATACGTGCAGCCCATAAATCGATCTCAACCCCATGCTTTCGGAAGAGGAGTTGAACACGCTCACGCTGAAGGCCCCGTACGTTTGGGAGCACGGCGACCAGCTGTACTTCGCGCGCGAGCTCAATCGCCTTGCCACGGCGATGCCCGACGAGCCCTCCTTTCTCGGCTTTTTTGTTCGCTACCGCAGCGACAAAAACGACCCGTCCCGGCATCGCTGGTCGCGCGTCCGCGCCGTGGTCGAGCTCGCCGAAGCGGAGGGGGAAGGAAGGGCCGACCCGCGCGGCCCGAGCGACTCGGTCGACCCCCCCTCGAAGCCGGTGGGCCCCACCCTCTGGCGGGGCAAGCGCTTCCCCATCGCCCTCGACGTCATCGGGGAGGGGGAGCTGGTCCGCCTCCCGCGCCTCTCCGCGCGGCCCCCGACGACGG